TCGGCGTCGGTGTCGTGGCCAAGTGCCATGTGGTACCTACCGTCACGGTCTTGTCTTAAGAAGTCTTGCGACCAAGTTGCGGGTGGGAGGGTGGGATGTTTGCACGAGCGGTGGAGAGGACAGCTTCAAGACGGTCAAAGTGACTTCTCCTTTCTAAAAACAGAAAGACTCTCCCCCCCCCCGGACTTATCGGTTCCCCCTGGGATGATATGATTTCATATATATATATATATATATATATATATATATATATATATTCTGCACACTCGTCCATCCTAAATATGAAATCGTACCATCCCAGCCAGGCCGGGTTCCCCCCACCCCGGGGGTTCCCTTGTAAAAAACACTATGCGGTGACATTTTTTGTTCTAACATAACACTTTTTCCCCCATTCCTTGCAAAAAACTGATACGAAGTGCACACGCGCGCGTCGTCGCGCGCGTATGCCGAAATCCTTCAAAAACCTGCGGTGCGGGAAGGACTTCGCAATCGAGTTTCCAAAAAACATACAAAAAACAACGGGGTTTCGCAACACAGAGTTGCTAAACAAGCTTCCGCGAAAGCTCTTGCGAAATCTTAACAAAACCATTGGTGTTTTTCAAGATTTTCACAACATGCTACCAAACGGCCTTCGCGCGCGCACATGTCGAAATCTGTCTAACGCCCTTGCGCGTGTGCCGTCGCGAGAATCCCCTGCAAAAAATGAAACGAAGTGCAGACGCGCGCGTCGTCGCGCGCGTATGCCGAAAACCTTCAAAACCCATCGGTTTCGGAAGGATTTCAAAATCGTGTGTCCAAACAACCTGCAAAAACACAAGGTTTCGCAACACGGATTTTCAACAAAAGCGTGCGCGCGCGCTCTTGCGTCGTCGTCGTCGTCGTCGCCGTCCTCTCTCCTCCCGCGTCGTTGTCGTCGTCGTCGCCTACGTCGTCCTCTGTCTTTCCTCGTGTTCGTCGTCGTCCTCTTTGGCGTCGTAGTCGTTTCCGTCGTCGTTATCGCCGTGGTCGTCCTTCCTCCTCCTCCCTCGTCGTCGTCGTCGTCCGTCGTCGGCGTCTCGTCGTCGTCCCTTCTATTTCGTCGCCGTCGTCGTCGTCGTCGTCGTTGTCGTCGTCGTCTTCCCTCCTCCCTCGTCGTTGCCGTCGTCGGCGTCGCCGTCCTTCCTCCTTCTTCGTCGTTCGCGTCGTCGCCGTCCTCCCTCCTCCCTCGTCGTTGTCGTCGTTGTCGCCGTCGTCGTCCGCCCTCCTTCCTCGTTGTCTTTGTTGGCGACGTCGTCGTCGTCTTCGTCGTCGTCGGCGTCGTCGTCGTTGTCGTCTTCGTCGTCGTCGACGTCGGCGTCGTCGTCGCCGCCGTCGTCGTCGTCGTCGTCGGCGTCGTTGACGTCGTCGTCGTCGTCGGTGTCGTCGTTATCGTCGTCATCGGCGTCGTCATCGTCGTCGTCGTTGTCATCGTCATCGTCGTCGGCGTCGTCGTCGTCGGTGTCGTCGTCGTCGTCGTTGTCGGCGTCGTCGAAGTCGTTGGAGACGTCGTCTGTGTCGTCGTACTCGTTGTCGGCGTCGTCGTCGTTGTCGCTATCGTCGTCGGCGTCGCTGTCGTTGCCAAGTGCCATTTTGTACCCACCGTCACGGTCTTAAGAGATTTTGCAAACCAAGTTGCGGGTGGGTGGGTGGGATGTTTGCGCGAGCAGTGGAGTGGACAACTCACTGCGAACAGAAATTAGTTGCACCACATAGATTGCATCGCTTACATTGCACCACCCATATAGGCAGAAAAGGATGTTCGGGGCCTACACAGGCTGTGATAGATGTCGGTATACATATACATACATTACACACAGATGTGCATATACTGGCGCTGGCCGTTGCCACACGAAGCGGAAGAAGAGGAGGAGAGGAAGCGGAGGAGGGAGAGAAGGGTAAGAAAGAGGGAAGGAGAGGGAGGGAGGAGGGCAAGAAAGAGAGAGAGAGAGAGAGAAAAAAAAAAAAAAAAAAAAAAAAAAAAGAGAGAGAGAGAGAGAAACAAAGAGAGAGAGAGAGAGAGCGAGAGAGAAATACCATCCGTGAGCCCCAGCTCGTGGACTCGGACACACGCCAACGTGGTACGCATCCGTGGACCTGGCGCGCGCGGACGCCGAGCCCACCGGCCGGGGAAAAAGCACGCCCCGAGACATGCGGCCAACGCCGCCCGAGGTGGCGACGGAGCGCGCCGGCCCCGTGCGGAGACGGGACCCGCCGCTCGTCCGCGAGCTCCTCGGTGGGCGCCGGGCGGGCCGGGAGATCGGTGGGCAGGGGCCTCGCTCCCCACCGCCCTCAAGAACGACAACGACGACAGCGAAGGCGACGGCGGCAAGCCAGACGGCGGCGGCGGCAAAGACGACGGCGACGACCACGACGTCCAAGACGACGGCGACGGCGACGACGACGACGACGCCGACGCCGACAGCGTCGACGACGACGATGCAGCGGCGGCGGCGGCGGCGACGTCCTGGAGCTGCATGACCTCCTGTAGGGAGCAGAAATGCAGTCAGGTCAGCGCTGGGCTTTCAGGGGAATTGCTTGACTGCCACTATTATCGGGGATGGACAGAACCCCCTCTAGTAAAACGTGTTTTAGTAAAAACGACTTCGGGCCCAAACCTGCCGGGCTCAAGCCTGGAAAATGACGGCCGCGGTGCCCTCTCGAGCACTAAAGACGGACAATTCACTAATCGACGTGTCAGAGTCGGGGGCTTCTGCACACCCCCGATATTACCGCCCGAGCACTGACCTGGAGCCCATCCTTCCATTATTCGTTATAGACCCCGCCCCCCCCCCGGCCCTCCCCTGGACACGCCCCGATTCGCCCAAATGCCGTTCTGGCAGGAACCATCCTTGGATATTCCCGGACGGCGCCAGCGCGGATCGTGACGCGACCAGCCCTCCCCCCCATTCCCCCCCCCCCGCTCCCCGGGTCACCCCCGTCATCGCCAGGGGATGGCAACGTGGTCCCCTGACCCAATCGGCCGTGGAGCTGTCCCCTCTGGGCAGAAGGCCCCCAAGCGCCTCCGAAGAGACCCCACGAAACATCCCCTCGCACCGCCCGCGAGGCCTCCGCAGCACGGCTTTCGGACCAGTCCTCTGCAGAACTGCCCCCTCGGGGCCGCGGTGCGTCCGGCCACGGCTCCGGCCTCCCAGACATCACCTCAAGGGGTCTTAGCCAGCCCGAGGGCGCGGTGGACAAACCTCTGTTTAGTAAACCTCCCCTTAGTGAAAACAGCCTGGGACCGAATTCGACGGACCTGGACCCGCAAAAATGACGGCCGCGACGCCCTCTCGCGAACCGAAAACGGCCAATTCCTTAATCGACGTGTCAGGGCAGGAGGTACATCCACCTCCGACAGACCCCCGTTTGGTCCAGCATCCTGGCCGCCCCCAAGGCGCCCCTCGGAGCCCCGACGCCTCCAGCCGGGAAAGGTGCACGCGGGTCGGAAGAAGCAGGTGGAGACGTGAGTTAGGAGGCAACTACTGGCAGGTTTTCGCTGGAGGGAGTAAGGAGGATTAAGCCCCATTGGGAGGCTGTTACGACAAAGTGGGCCTCGGATTGAGCGGGATTAAGTCGGATTAAACGGGATTAAGCGGGATTTAAGCCGGATGAGCCGGGATTAAGCCGGATTAAGCCGGACTTTGGACCAGGGCAAAATTAGAATTTCACCTCCCAGAGGTTGCATCCGAACGTGAGGTAGGAAGTCGGACAAGGAGGATTGGGCTCGGGCCCGCCCAAAGTAGAACAGTAGGCAGCAGAAACATATCGGCGATGGGCCCCCGATGACGCTCCTGGGCCTGAACGGGCCATCGGGTCCCCATCAGCGATCAGTGGGCGCTTGGGGGTAAATGCGTTCCCGCCCTGAGCCTGTGCCCCCTGGCGTCGCCCCCTGGCGTCGCCCCCCCGCGTTCAGGTCCGACTTCCCGCTGGCCGTTCGAGACGATCCAGGAATTCCCAGAACGCTCTCGGCGAAGCACAACTGACGGAAACACCCGAAAACCTCCCCTTCCTGACGCGCCTGGGGCTCCCCTCGGGGTCCCCAAACAGATGTTTGTTTGGGCGCCAGAGATGGACACGGGCAAATAGGCGTAATGCCCAGCAGCGAACGTTGTCCAAAATCCAAAATCAACAGCGACCGCTGTTTGGCAGGCGCCCTTCTGACTCAAATGGACACCGTCCGCGGGGACTGTGACAACGAGTTCACTGGGGTCCGATATGGTCCGAAGTAATCCCATGGAACCCAATTGAGCCCGATCGATGGTCCGATGGAGTCCGCTGACCCCCCTCCTTCGGCGTACCCACTCGAAGAAACGCAAACATGGATTGACGACGCGTGGATCTGCCGCGAGTCCCGTCTCCGCACAGAATCGGCGCGCTCCTTCGCCAAACCGGGCGGCACTCTCCTCACGCTTCGTGGAGCGCCACTCCCTAGCCGTGGCTTTGGCGCCCACGCGCCAGATACACGCATCCCTGGTCCGTGCTAGCGCGCGCCAGAGTCACCGGAGCAGGAGCTGCCACCCGGCCAGACGGTGACAACCTACCAGACCACCCCAACCCAACCCAAAGACCCGAATTTGATCCGAATTTCGGGTTGGGGGGGAGTACGGGTTCCATGTGTTTTCGCAACGTTCCCCGACCCCCCCCCACTGGAAATTGAGGGCAAGTTGAAGCCTTCGGGTTGGGTTGGGGTGGTTTGGTGGGTGGTGAGACAGGAAGGGGGTCCCCGGGTCTGGTGCGGAATCTCCCTACTCGAGAGAAGCCCCGATCGCACCCTCAGCCTTGATCTGGAAAGGGCTTCCCTGCTCTCCAAGAGTGCTCACACCTGCACCCTCCCAGGAAGATCGGAGGCCAGGCTGGAGGCGGCCTGGGGGTCCGAACTGGTTGGGACCCCAGAAAGTAAGGGGCCCTGGGACACACCAAATTCGCCGGCCCAACGGGCCAGGGCGTGCTAAGATCTCCGGTAACTGGTTAACAGTATTAACAGTATTTCTAGTTCGCGCGCGCGGGGCGGCCCCTGGGGGTCCCCCGGCGAAAAGTACCCCGACCAACGCCCGACCGCCGCCCGACCGCCGCCCGACCGCCGCCCGACCAAGTCTACTCAGAGATGGTTTTCCTTCTGGGTGCGGCCTCTCAGGCTCCCCAGAGCGCGCTCAGAGTGCCCCAAGAGGCCCCCAAGACTGCCCAAGAGGCCCCCGAGACGCCCAAAGAGCGCTCGAAGACGCCGAAGATGACCCCAAGACGGCCCAAAAGGCCCCCAAGACAGCCCAAGAGGCCTCCAAGACGCCCCAAGAGCCTTCCAAGAGGCCTCCGAAGAGAGCCCCAAGAGGCCAAAATCGTTGATTTTCATTTCGTTGATTTTCATTGGTTTTTTATGTTTTTTGTGTTCTGGCTTTTTCGGCTTCCGGACGCTCCAAGACGGCCCAAGAGGCCCCCAAGACCGCTCCAAGACGGCCCACGAGGCTCCAAAGACGGCCCCGGAACGGCCCAGGAGGGCCCCCAAGACGGCCCAAGTGCCGCCCAAGACGGACCAAGAGGCCCCAAGACGGGCCCAAGAGGGGCTCAAGAGGGGAACCGAGAACTGAAAAATCTAGCCCTCCGCCTCAGAAGGCGCCCAGGAGGCCCCAAAAAGGCCCCAAGAGGAGGCCCCCAAGACGCCCCAAGAGGCGCCCAAGAGGCCCAAAAGAGGCCCCAAGAGGCCCCAAAACGGCCCCCAAAACTCGGCTAGCCCACAACGGTGCGACAATATGGGCCGGCGGAATGAGCGAAGCGATTAAATAAATACACACAAATCCCAGGATTCCGAATATTTCGCAATATTTTCTGAAGTTTCGTTTTCCCACCCATTGTCCATATTTTCCCATAGGTTCCTGGGAATCGACTTGTAAGTGTGTCTGTGTATTTTTCCCCCTCCAGAATCTGTCAAGAGGGGGGGATGGTGCCACATCCGCTCGAAATCAATCCCTGGACCCCTCCTAGGGTCCATCTGGTGCAGTTTGGCATCCCGGATCCGTTCGTCACTGCCCTGGGGACCGAACGCGGCCCCTGGAGGCCGAGAGAGAGAGAGACAAGAGGACAAAGCTTCCCGAACCCACGGCCCAGAGCCTGCTCGCCCCTCCTGCTGCCCAGAACCACGGCTGGGCCACCTCGGGCACCCGGACGGGCTCAAGGGCCAGGCGCCTGGCTGGAGGGTCCCTTGGCAGGCCCAGAGATTGACGCCAACACTAGAATCGGCGGTGTGCCTCCACCGAGGGAAGAAGATCCCGATCTCGGTGATGGTGGTAGTATTCTGGCTTCAAAGGTGACCGAAAGATTGCCACCAACACCGAAATCTAGGATCATCTTCCCCATGTGGAGGCAACCCCCTGTGTTGGTGCTGGTGCCAATTTCTGGGCCTCCAATCCCCCTGGAGCGCTGTAAGCGGAAGGCCTGCGCGCGTGCTCGACCGTTCCGAACTTACCGAGGCTCTGGGGGAGACCCCCCGGCACGTCCCCGCGAGGCGCGGCGAGCGACCGGGTCCTCCTCCTCATCCTCCTCCTCCTCCTCCTTCTCCTCCTGCTCCTTCCTCCTCCTCCTCCTCCTCCTCCTCCTGCTCCTTCCTCCTCCTCCTCCTCCTCCTCATCATCCTCCTGCTCCTCTTCCTCCTCCTCTTCTTCTTTCGCTTCGTTTTTCTTCTGAATCGAATTATGCTTATTATTATTCGTAGTTGTATTAGTATCATTCGTATTATCCCCATGATCATTAGTATTCTGAATATGGTCGTAAGTATTAGTATGATCATTGTTCTTAATCATATTACTAGTCTTATTCGCCTTAGTACGATTAGTATTATCAGTATGTTTCTTAGTATTAGTATTATTCGTATCACTCGTATTATCAGTATTATTTGTATGTTTTGTTATCATTATTCTTCGTATTAGTATTAATAGTAATCTCCGTATTATCAGTGTTATGATTATTATTATTCCTCCTCCTCCTCCTTCTCCTCCTCCTCTTCTTCTCCTCCACCTCTTGTTCCTCCTCCTCCTCCTCCGCTTTGTCCTCCTGCTCCTCCTCCTCCTGCTCCTCCTCCTCCTCCACCTCATCCTCCTCTTCTTCCTCCTCCTCCACCTCCTGCTCCTGCTCCTCCTCCTCTGCCTCCTCCTCTTCTTATTGTTCATAGTATTATGTGTATATGTATTACTTGTGTTCTTAATGTTCTTCTTATTAATCGTATTCGTCGTGTTAGGTCTCTTCCGATTACTACGGGTAGCGATCGTCTTCGCATTTGCATTATTAGTATTCCTATTCGCACTATTACTATTCGTAATATTACTACGTCTACGCTTAGTAGTATTGCCAGTGTTGCTAGTATGATTCTTAGTATTACTAACAATACTAATATGATGCGTCTTATTATTCTTCTTCGCAGCTCATTAGCAGTACTCGTATTAGTATTCGCATTAGTAGTATCCGTATTCGTCTTAGCAGTCTTTGTGTTAGCAT